GTGTCCGTAAGGCTCTAGAGCAAAGGCTAGGGGCCCCTGGCGACAGTCGCTGGGCGGGTCTTATCTCCGGGCTCCGGTCCCGCCCCCGCCCCCCACGGCGGGGAGCGGCCGAGCCGGGTCGGGTCTGCTCAGTGCAGAGCTGCTGCGAGGCCCGAGGACAGTCCACAGGGCATGGCCGCTGGCTCTCAGCGACGGGAGAGCTTAGGAGACACGGCGGTCAGCCCCACACGAATCCTGGGCCATTGTGGCTCGTGCAACCAGCCGAGCACTAGTGCTCGCCCATCGCCCCCTCCCCGCTGCACCCCTCCTCCCGGCCCCAGTGCCTTGCCCAATGGCTAGCCCCTCAGTACAGTCCACCTGCCTCCCTATTGCTTTTAATTTAAAAAAATTTTGTTTGCCAGAGAGACACAGAGGTGGAGAGACAGAGAGCAAGAAAGCTCCCCTGCCCTGCCTCCATGGGGCATGGTCACATGCAGTCCCTTCTCCATCTCTCTTCCTTTGGAACATGCAGTCCCTTCTCCATCTCTCTTCCTTTGGAACATGCACACATATGCTTGGCATGTTTTTATTTTTTTAATTTTAAGAATTACTTAACTTTATTTATTTATTTAATTTTATTTTGACCAGAGAAGGACAAGAGAGAAAGAGCCACCAGGTCCAGGACTCGAACCATAGTCGGCCATGTGGGAGTCTAGTGCCCTAACCACCATGCCACCTGCTGGCCCATGGCGTGTTTTTTCAAGGAGCTGGGTCTGAGACTGAAAGGTGCAGTTGGCCATGTGGGGTCCGGCCTCCTTCACCACCTCACCACCTCTGGCCCTTCCTCCCCTCTCCACTGCTCCCCTACAACCGGACGTAGTCTCCAGCCCCCACGAATTGTGCAGGACGAATTGTGCAGGATGGCTGCGTTTCTTGGCTTTTTTTAGGTTTTTGCCTTAGGGTGGGTATGCTCATCACAGAGAAAGAGACAGAGAGGGAAACTGAGAAGTCACCCTCTAGGGGGATGGCCTTGCTGCAATCCCTTCTCCTCTGTTTTCCTCCTGGAATTTTAGGCATGCATGTACATGCACCCGGTATGATTTTTCAAGCTGCCAGGTCTAGGACTCAAACCATAGTCAGCCATGTGGGAGTCCAGTGCCTTAACAACTATGCCACCTGCTGACCTGTTTCTTGACCTTTCAAAGGTTCAGAATCCTTATCTAAAATACGACCAACCTAATAGTGTGGTTTTGAGGATGAAATGAGCTACGATGTCAAATGCCGAACGTACCTGGCACGCAGTAACCCTGCATTAGCTCGATGCTAGTGAAATAAATGATGCCACATCGTGGGAACTAAATGCAGGAGGGGAGAAGCTCTGAGTCCTGGTGGCTGGCCCGAGAGAACGACTTACGTGACCTTGACATACCCTGCTCCCAAATTCCCCTATGGCTCTCCAACACGTCCGTGGTACTGTAGAC